CTTTCGCATTTCGCATAGCTATACGTGCGCCTTTTGTAGATTTCATTGGGCTAGCGGTCTACGCGAAACACATTTCATTTTCAACACAATAGCGGAACACTGGCGGTTTATTTACAACTTAATGGTGCTTCTTGTTCGTTTGAACACAGTGCAGGGTGAGCACAGTCACACGTTAGTATCTTTCACTACCATTCGTGCTTTTTGAGCAATTAGTGATCGCTGTATTCCTGTTCCATGAAAATATGGTTAGAGCTTTTTTTTCAAGAGTTCAGAATGTTTTCGTTTTATTAGACTATGCTTTTGCCTGAATTTTCATTCATTGACTAGGTTTTTTTAAGTATATGCTTCTTCAAAGGTCTAAAGCACAATTCCTTGTTTTCCCCCTTTCGTTTTCTTTTTTTTGTCAGTTTTTGAAACGGTTTCACTAGATTCCCTAATTCCGAGTGTTCATTTTTTGTATGCTTCTTTTATATTTCCAGAAAACAACGCACTGTATTGTTTGCGATAAATGTGTTCCTTCCTCATTTTACTTTTACTTTGTCGCTGCTAATTTGCACTGTTTATTGAGGCTGTTAGTTATTGTGTCCTGTAGAGGATTGTGTCACTGTATAGTTCTTTTCTTGTTTCTTCGTTCTGTGCAGCACAGTTTGTTGCAAATGCGCCAAAGTGAACAAGGGTGGGGGGGGGGAGGGTTGAGCTAGCTAAGCTGCTTGTCAGCTTGTTCTTGAAGCACGTGTGTTGTAGTGTATATGCGAGTGGCTTGTGTCGGCGTGTGAATCAGAAAGAGCTGCTGCGGTCCACTCAGCAGTTCTTTGGACACTTGTTGTGCAATTGTGAAATGAATCCGAAGCAGGCAAGGACCGTGACGACAATCCCGCCGTGCACAAGCTTTCATTACTGAATGTCGCTTTATCACTCCGTTGTCGCATTGCAAGGCAACCTGAATTCGCCTCAAATGATAAAACACTTCCCTGTGAGCTATAAAAGACGTTTCTCTCCTCATTAGGACTTTGACATTGGCAGTATTACTCAGAAATCGCCCTCCTCCTCATCGCTGCTATGCAATATATCCTCATACCCCCTTCGACACGTTTTGCTCAATGGTCTCTGTGGTCGTATCGTTCATACGGCCAGCCACATCTTTGCTCGTATATCTCACATTTATTCTTCCGCAGTCACCGCTACTTGAGCGACACTTGTGAAGAGGAATGGGGCGGCAGCTCTTTCTATTGGTGCAAGATTTCGGCTGTGACGAAGACAAAAACAAATTGGCAGCATATCCACGGAGTGAATGATGGAGAGTGGGGCGAAGCATTCGTCCGTCCATTCGTTCTTGCTTCCATCCGTCCATGCGTCCGTCTGTGTGACCGTCCATGCGTCCATCCGCCCATCCGTGTGTGCGTCTGTTCCTGCGTCCGTCCCTGCGTTCGTCCATGCATCCGCCCCTGCGTCCGTTCATGCGTCCATCCATGCGTCTGTCTGTGTGTCCGTTCGTCCATCTATTCAACACTCCAAGTAGCACCATCTCGCCACTTTTCATCACATATTCTCCATATAGAAGCACCGCCATCCAGCGGACATTCCAAGGACTATACGAGAGGTGGCACACGCACACTTTCTTACAGCTTGCGCTTCGGGTCTACCTCTCACCTTTAACCACCTCGAGTTCATGGTATGTACTAGTTCAATGTATTCACGGCACTGCGGCCCACCGCTCGCTAAACCTTTCTAAAACCAAGAAGGTTACACCCGGCGAGTATAACGTAGCAACCTTTTTCTGTCAGATAGTGCTCAATGTACATGCCAATCGCTGCTAATGGGAAAAGAGAGACAGGAGAATTTGGCTTTTACTTTCTTACAGCTTGCGCTTCGTATCTACTTTCCACCCTTAACCACCTCGAGTTCATGGTATATACTAGTTCATTGTATTCATGGCACAGCGGCTCAACGTTCGCTAGGCCTTTCTAAAACTAATGAGGTTACACCCAGCGAGTATAACGTAGCAACCCTTTCTTGTCAGATAGTGCTCATTGTACATGCAAATGGCTGCTAATGGGGATTGCAGCGTGCGCGTTAACTAAAAGCCGAATGTTCCTGTCTCTCATTTCCCATTAGCAGCCATTGGCATGTACTTTGAGCACTATTTTTATTGTTGGACATCGCACAGAAGATACCTCTTACCGGCATCACCTTGGAGGTCAAAATGTTATACTCGTTACACAGTGCAATAGCTACGAGGGACGAACGGGCGTCGCTATAAGGAGCTTCGCCCCTAAAAATCCAAGACTGCGCTAACTCAACGAGTCCCAACAATCAGTTGTCTCTCGATCCACAACTGCCACAGAACAATAGTGCAAGGTTTATAGTGAATCCACAAGCGAGGAAAGCAATAAAAGGTGCCAGTGAAGATGAGCGAATATTGAAGTCACTAGGCACTTCTCATTAGATGTGGTGATGTGGAGATGTGTGCAATGCATTAGATGGGGAGCACGTACTTCGATCTAGAAAAACTTGTGACTTTGGTCATGCGTACAGTAGAGCCTGTGTGTACAGGCTCTGTAGCTTTACTATGACAGCAGGTTGCAAGACGGCGCTAGGTTCCTTGGATTCACGTCATTACAGTGAAACATGCACCACCTAAACTGTTTAGGAACTGCGATTCTTCAAAGAACTAATTTCTTTGTTACACAAACAAAATGATCGCAATAGACAATTAAACATTAGGAAAGTGAAAATGTACTGGGCATTTTTAAATTTTTATGGGTGCTAATTTGGGCAGAGTGTGAGGGTGATTGAAGTGTTAGAACTACGATTTTGAAAGTGTGCCATGTTGCCAATGTCCTGAAAACTTTCATTAGGCTTAGCAGTACCAGGTAGATGACATGATCGTGTGTGCATCTGCTTGGCTGCCAATGGCTTTCTGATAATTTCAATGTAAATATTTTGCAAAATCCTGAAGTAACCATTTGTTTTTCTTCTCTTGAAGATTCAATACAGTACATTTTTCTCGATGCTATCTTCTTTTACAGGTTTCTCCAAGACATATTCTTTCTTTCAATTTCAAAGAGTGATTTGTGAACGTGTAGATCTATTTGAACTTTTTAGTTGCCAACGTAATAAAGTATTTCGTTGTGCGATGCTTTGCCGGCTCCTGGGTGTGCAAATGCCACTTCGTCACAATGACTAAGCAAGCCACCAATCAAAGTTTCTAAGCCGTCGCGTCATTTAAGGGACGGCGTTCTTGCTCCAGCTGTCATGCGTGTGCTTGTGGACGCTTGCCATTAAGATACATTCCCTTCGGACAGTGCTTGGTTACTGTCTGAAAACATGGGCAGCTCGCTGAGAAGAATTATATTTTCATGTTATCGATTGAAAATGCAACGTGATTGCGTGGTGGTTGTAAATGAGAAGTGATGGATTTCCTTAACGGTTTTGTGCCGTATGCAGCACCGCTTTGCAGTGACACGCCCATCTCAAAGGCCCCTCACAAGCATGTGCCAGAAAATGACCTCGACAAAGTAGTGTTGCAATTACGTTTTTTTGTCTGGTTCCGTGTTGTCATGATTACGTTACCACGCAGCTTTCTCATCGTCAATGTTCACCTCAGTTGGGGATGTATTTACTTATAAAGGGTGATGTACAGTTACCAGAAACTGATCAGGAGGCTGTTAAATCTTTTGTGGTGCTGCCGGCGGCACGCGCACTCACCAGGTAACACTGAAAGGCAGGAGAAGTCCTTTCTGAAGCTATCTGGCTTCGGGGTTTGATTTGGGGTTTGATGTTAGGTTAGGTTAGGTTAGGTAAAGTCGTCATCTATGGTACATCGTTCATCAGGTTCATGATTACTAAATGGCTAGGTCGCTCCGTAAGTTTGTTTCCCACCGGAGATTGTGCCAGGAAACACGTGAAGAGTCACAGAATTTCAAATAAACGCTTATGACAGGGTTTCGCTCAAGTCATCGAGAATTCTGAAAAGTTGCTGTCACCCATCCAGCTAACGTAAAATTGAAGAATGCCTGACTTTTTCAGTGGCAAACTTTTTGATATAATCAGCCGGATAGGCCGTGAACGCAAATCCAAAGAATGTTGAAAGATAAAGCTAATGAAGCTGATGAAATCAGTGGATGTACGCGTTTACTTTGATGGAACTGTATAAAACAGCGTGCCAATTTAAAACTAATTTACCGTAGGACAGAACGTCATCTCATTTTTCTTCATATCAGCTGGTACACGCGAATAGGCAAGTAGTACCAAAGTAAGCATAACAATTGTGCATCTATTATTTTCTAAGGAAACTGAATTTCTGGGGATGTGCTCTCTCTTGACTGTCGAAGTTTAGCATTGTGAATGCTGGGTACTGCAGCAGTACCCGGCATAGTTGTGTGGCGGGGCCCTTATAGTGTTTCAACTTACGCTTCAATGAATTGAGGTACCTGAAACCAGAAGATTAACGGAGTTTATTTTCGCCATGACCTTGATTTTGACCTTGTCCGCCTAACCTTGGTGGGACAGGTGGAGCATAGCCTGGGAAAGCTAACGTAACGATCGTTAAACTTTAATTAGAAAACAAAGTATGATTGAGAGTAGGCTGTGTTTCATGACATGTGTCACAAAGTAGAGACGTAAAATACAAAAGCTTGGGCTTTCGAAGCAATGAACAAATTGACATAAAGTCTCTCAGAGAGCCAAGGGGCGGGTTCTATTCTAGCCACCGGTGTTTGTGTGGCGCACAGGCTTCAACCTGTGTGTGTGTGTGGGGGGGGGGGGGGTACACAGTGCTTCTTCGCGCGACTAGGGCAGTGCCAAGGTCGCGGGAGGCGCAAAATCATCTCGCGCTCCCTCGAGAAAGCGCGAGACCGCATACACAAGGCAGCGGTGGCGGCAATGCCGTCAGAGAGGTAGAAGGTAGAGGGAAAGCGAAAGCACGAACACGTGATATGCACACAACACACGGTTCCCAACCGCGGCTCAGGCGTGAAAAACTGACTCGTTTCACTCACTCTTTCAGAAGCCAGTAGATCTCCCACGCGGCGAACATGGCTCCTGCGGGAATCGGCAACGTGTACCACCTGCAGGGACTGGCGTGCTAGATATCGTAGTCGATGGCCGTTCGGAAAGACCAGTACACCGTCTTTGAAGATAGCAAAACAACTTTTGATGACAAGTCTATTAATGGTTACCAAAAATTTAACCACCTCCGTGCAGTGATCACGCCACGGTGTTCTAGAAGGCAAGCGCCCGAAGGGGTTTCCCACTGAGTCGTACCTCTTGCCCCAGTCTCCTCAAACACTACACGCCCTCGCTAACCCAAGCCTCCTCGCCCACTCTTTCTCCCTCTCGACGTTCCCCTTATGTTCCGTTGCTTTTCTGCTTCTCATTTCTCGCGGTCCAGGGTTCTGGCTCCGAGTGCGCATGCGTCCTTCGATTCGGTGAGGCCGTTTATATAGCGAGCTCGTGGGCGTTGCCAGCCCACCGCCCATTGAGCAGACGACGACGACGTGAGAGACCGGATTGCGTCGTCTGCTTCGGGACGCCGCATGACAACTTGACGTCGCAAGGTCGTGCCCGTGGTCCAGACGCATATTTTTTTCTCTTTTCGCCTGCCTTGCGCAGCCACGACAGTCGATATTTCAAATACAGTCAATCGATGAGGTCTCTCTGGGGTTTTTAGATCACATCAATTTTCGTGTTTCGTTGTGATTTATGTACGTGCCGCGACTTCAGCCAGTTCACTGCAGGATGCGCTTTCGAAGAACTTGGTTATGTTTAGTCCTACCTATATTTTTCGTGCATGTTTTCGGAACATACTATTTCCTTTTCGTGCATTTTGGGTTTTAACCTGAAACATCTGCGCTTTGGAATAACAGAGAGCTTGAGCTAAAGCATAACTGCTAGCCGGCATAGTTGAAACAAATTCATCTTTTTGCTGCTTTGTTTGAAACAAACAGGGACGAAGCAACGAGTTGACATGGATGAGCGCAAAGTTTATTGCGCTCGTCTGTGGGTACACTCTCCTTTGTCCTTGTTTGTTTCAAGCAGAGCGGCTAAGAGCACAGCAGGTTGTGAAGTACTAGTTCGAAAAGAGTGACCTTGTAGACATGGAGGCAAGAAAGAAGACACGACAAGCTGTGTTCGCGAAGCTTTGACTACCTGGTGGCGCCCCTGTTTGCATACCGAGTGTTTTTTAAATATAAGATGTGATCGCTAATAAATAAGGAATAATGATCTAATTACGCATGGTGTTCATAACTATTTGTATAGATACGGCTGACAATGGTGTCGTATTCACATCGATAGTAGCTGACGATTATAGCACCATGCGAGCACGACATTCATATGGTATGCTCTAAATAATATTTTTTCTACTGAGATAAGAAGTGTAATTACGGGAGTTGAGAAAACTTGATTTAGAACTGCCCATGTTGAACACTGAAAGCAAAAGAGTAGGTCTGAAAGTTGATACGCATAAAACGAAAGCAGTAGGCAGCAGTCTCGGTAGAGAACAGCATTTTGCGATAGATGGCGAGACACTGGAAGTTGTAAAGGGAAATGTCTGGACGTGGGACAGATAGTAAACGTGGAGCTAAACCAGGGGAGTTAAATAACTAGAAGAAGAGGAGGGGGGACCCATTTGGCAAGCATTCTCAAATGATTACTGGTAGATTGCCACTATCCCTCAAGAAAAAAGTGCATGACAACTGCGTCTTTCCTGTGCTTACCTACGGATCAGAAGCTTCAAGGCTTACAAACAGGGTTCAACTGAAATCGAGAACAAAGCAGTCATCACTGGAAAACAAAATAGTAGGTGCAACCTTAAGAAAGAGGAACAGAGTAGGGTAGGCCAGGGAACAGATGGTGCTTATGGGTATCATAGTTGAAATCAAGAAGAAGAATTGGACATGGACCGGGCATGTAGTACGTAGGCGGGATAACCGGTGGTCATTATTGGTAACGGAATAGATTCCCAGTGAAGGCAATCGCGTGAGAGGGAGACGGGAAATTAGGTGGGCAGGTGTGGCTAAGAAGTTTGCAGGTATAACATCGCAGCCGAAAGCACAGGACCAGGTTGAGTTGCGGAACTTCGGCGAGGCCTTTGTGTTACAGTGAGTGTAGTCGGGATGCTGCAGCTGCTGCTGATGATGATAGGGCAAGTGTATTGTTTAGTTGTTGTCTTGCACTGTCTTGCTGTCGCAGAAAACGGCGTTTTGATATTATTATGGGCTGCGCTCATGTCGCAGTTGTGTTTTGCTTATATAGAAATCTCGGCGAAAGGATGACAAATGCTGTGACAAGAAACGTAGCGTCGAACAAAAACTTTATTAGCGCGGAGAGCATATGAAACTCGACTCATATTCACATTTATTGCGTACCGAATGCCTAGAACACCTAATTCAGATACCTCCCTTGCTCACCTATAATACACTGCCACAATCGGAAAAAAGCATTTAGTGTGATAAATACTTTTGCGTTCGTCAACTGAGTTTAGCTGCTATGAAAATGATGAGCTATTTTCAGCATTTCGACTCACATAGCTCCGGTGGAAAATCCTGGTTGCTGTTGTTGAAAATTCGAAATGGTGCAAAAAAACTATTTTTATGAAGTCAACACGGCTAAAGGGTGTAGGAAACCATCAGCGCGTACATCACACTTTATAATCGACTGTAAAAGTATCGGAGGCAGTTGAAGAAGTCGCATTGATAATAGTACGCTGGAAGCAACTTATGGATAGCAAGAAATTTGGTGCTTCAGCTGATATTGCTCACATTACTATGTAAATGTACAGGATGATATGTGCTTAAGCCTTCAAGGTATTTATTATACCCAATACCCAACTTTGAAAACTTAGTTACTGTTGAGACTGATCAAATAGTTGAATACGTTTCTATATATGCTTATTAATACTTTTTCTAATGGTGACACATCATGTCAATGCAAGGTTTGTAGAGATGCTCTATAGTTATTTTAACTGGTCTGAGCTTTCTCTGTATAGCGAATGTCCGGGACAGCTATTGTGCATCTACCCAGAACCCGTATCATTTTTCCGTTCTATTCTTACCTAGCGATCAAAATGGTTTTACTGCAGGTTGACAAAACGCCCCTTTGAGAACGCTATACTTACAATACTTATTTACCTACATGCTAAGCACGCCACATTCTTGCCCAATATGACGTAGAGAAATAGATTTACAGAGAGACAAGAGAGATAAGTGAGAGGTGTTAGGTGAGTTAACGATTCATTTAGCTATAAGCTATATGGCACTGAGCCACAAGGAAATGAAAAAAAGAGAATAGATTAAAAAAATCAGGGCCGTATTTCCAAGCTCATATAAGAGAAAATTTTGTGTAAAAGAAATTATGTCACGTAAGTTCATTCACGAAACGAAAAGAAAAAACGCCGTACGACGCTACCGTTGCCGAGTAAAACTTAGTTGGCGCAAACTTGAAAGAAGACGAAAGAAGAGCCACGGTTTATTAAAAATCAGTTGCGAGGGTGCGCTTTTCCGAATCTCTTCGTTCGTCTTCTTTCAAGTTTGTGCCAACGATGTTTTACACAGCTACACACCAACTAGCCCAACAGCATACGACTTCTGCGCTTTGAGTTTTGTGTTGTTTCCCTTGTACGCAACGAACGGCATTGACAAGTGGAGTTATCCAATAAGTCGCTGTAATTAAAGGCTCATATATTGGTTGCCAATAGCGTAAATTAATGCTTGAAAACACTTGTCGTTGATGAAAGCACTGTGCTACGTTAATGGTCGGTGAATTCAAACGCGGAACGGTATGTGGTCAACCTTATTCGTTATGTTGTTGTGTTGCACCCCCATCATATTAATAGAGAAAAACTCGTGGCGCTTGCCACATTTATGAAAATTACTACTAAAGAAGTCAATAGGAGCACATCGCCTGCAGCTGCACGCTATTGGAAGTAAAAGTAAGTGGAACCTTTCAGTTAGCTGTTCACTAAAGCCCATTTTGTGGTTGCGCTCTAGCATACTTCGATTGGCTGTAACTGTCCAATGGGAGCAATCTTGGAAATACAGCTGTCTGCACACTTTGGAACGATCTAGAACGGCCGCGTACTTTGTAAACCAAAGCGTAGTTGGGGTGTGCGTGATTACGCATGAAACTACAAACAAATAAAGCTTTTTGGCCTTCACAGTTAAAAAACTGATGTGGGCCGTGATAATATGGCAAGCAGTTGGGATAAAATGGCCTTGGTAATTTCAAATGACGCCAGAAATGTTGCAACCCTCACGATTCCTAAGGAAACCTTGGCTGAATTCGTTCTGCGACAATTACCAGCCGTTTTACTTGGAGTAAGATTATCAGTGAAAGGTAGAGCTAGTCACGGACATGTATATTGAGCGACGCAGCCACAGCCTGATCTGGAAATAATTGTGTCGCTAAAGCGAAATTCCTGCCGGATGCTCCCTTCGAAGCAAACGTTAAAGAACCCCAGGTGGTCAAAATTTCCGGAGCCCTCCACTACGGCGTCTCTCATAATCATATGGTGGTTTTGGGACGTTAAACTCCACAAATCAATCATTCGAAGCAAATGACAAACACGAGCAGATGACGTCTTGGCTGATAGGGCGCATCTTGTGATTGGTTGTGAAGCAATACTCTCAAGATCAGATCACTACGTGACCTGATAGTGTTTGGGCAACACCACGAACGTTGCAAAAACATTTTTTCGCCTGGCACGCTTGTGGTTTTCATCACATCTCCCCCCCTCGCACATAAGAACAATTTTTGTAGTGTCATGAAAAATGAGCAAGAACTTTTTCAGAGCTCTCTTACGTCCAGCCTAGTGGGCAAAAAGACCATGGCATGGTTAGCAGCGTACCTTTGGTGCGAATATCAAAAAACACTTTTCGCTTGAGTTGCTTCAACGTTCGACTAGCTGTGTTGTGATTACCGATGGTTTTTCGGTGCGTGTAAGCGATGTCAAAACAAGCGGCAATATATCGGCGTACGGTGACGCGTAGCGAAGCCTGCGCTTCGGCGTTTTTCTCAAGCGGGCATCAGTGCCGGTGTGTCGACGGGAACTAGCACTCGAGAAGCTTGCAATGTGTGTGTGCGCCGGTAACAGTTCGTTAGCATCGCTTTCCGGTCTTTCAATTGAGTGCTGTGCGAAATTTTGGATTGACAGCGTTTGGGCACGTTACTTCAGTGACTCCAACTACGTGCGGCAACGCATTGAACTACGCGCTGCGTTCAGTTCTTGCTTCGCCATTGGTTAGCTCATGCGCTTCTATTTT